TCTATGATTCTATGATTCTATGATATTAGGAGAGTCATTTTATACAGTCAGCAAGATACACAAGCTAAACCAAAATTTTATTCAGACCTGAGTCCACCACAGCATTCCAACATTAATGCTGTTATGATGTTAACGTGACGGTTTTGCATCAGTGGAATAGCTACCATGTATTTTACTCCAGAAAGCAGATAGAATGGCCACATTATATGCTTTGCAAAATGTCTGGTATGTTAAGAGAAAAAAACATAGAGAGAGATCAATGAAGCATACAGAAAGGTAGGCTTCACTGCCAAAACATCAGAGCTCACAGCTTTAATAAAGAGCTACTGAGAAATTAAGTGAAACATCTGTTTGCATACGCTCAGGCACCCAAATAGATGATTAAAAAGAGCTCAGGACCCAGACCTTTCAGTTGGAGCTGCGTTCTTCCCATGGCAGAAGAAGAGAGCATTTGATGCTAAAACACTTCCCTGGGACAAATAATAATAACCATTTTTTAAAAGTCTTAATAGATTAATCATACTATTCTGTTTAATAGTAAATTATTCAACTACCAGGCTATCAGCTGAGAATATTGCTTGGGAGCTAATCTACAAGTGGACAAATACCAGTTTCCTCAAGAAGAGGGACTGAGGAGCCTGGCAGAGAGATTTACTATATGTGATGTAAGTGTGTGGACATTAAGCTCATGTGGCAGAACCTCTGGCAAATCATGTTGACAACTGCATCTGTTTGCTGGAAACAGCTAGGGAAGTAAATAGAAAATGAAAAATGAGAATATTGCAGCTGACTGAAATATCATTCAAATGACACAGAGGAAAAACTGAGATGATTGCAAGCTGTTGAGTTAGAGTAGTTCAAGAAATTACCATCCCACCAGTTGGACTTTAATATACCCTTAGTAAGGTGCTACAATGATGATGTGTATACATCTCTGTTCTGTGCAATACAGGCAGGCTACACACAGTACCTCCCAAGCGGTCTGACAAAGCACCCTGAGAGTCTGTGCTGAGCAGTGACTTAGCCCCATAAGGGAAAAAGTGATGAAACTACGTATTTGTAGTCTGATAAAAAGAATCTAAGACATTCATCAGTGCCTGAGCTCTGAGGTGAATTCCAGGCTAGTCTGTCTGGTTTATAATCTACAGTGTAGACATGTCTGCCTTACATGATGGGACCATCACAGAACCCTGCAGAATATGTCATTTCAGACATTGAAAGAGGAATGGGGTAGGAAATTAAATGTTTAAATTTAAAAAAAAATTAAGAACTGTTCAATGAATGTGACTGAAGCAGCAAATCTAGAAGAACTACACTACCTGCATAAAACTGACTTCTTATACAGAGCAGTCCAGAATTCAGAAATATGGTGACTGAACAAAACCATGAGATCATCAGCTATATCATCAGCATATCATCAGTTCTGACATCCAGGGCATTACAAAGGCCAGTTTCAAGAAAAGAATTGAAAAGAAACAAAGGAAAAAAAAACCAAACCAACCAACCAACCAACAACCCCCCCCCCCCTCCCTTAGGAATTTAAAAATATTTCCATGTCAAAATACAGCAATCTTTCTTTCAAAGAGACAGACCACAGGGGAAAAGCTTTCACTTTTGGATACTGAACAGCAAAGACAGCATAAAGCATTTCAAACAATGTTGAATATAGAGGCAACCAACTTGACGACATGTCAGGGCCATGTGGGAACAAAAGCTTGTCTCCAGAAGATGAGCAGCATCCCCAGTGCACTTTTGCACAGGCCAAAACCATGTTCTCATTACAAGTGACATCTCCATTTGTAGTGCTCCATGTCTAGGAGTTTAATCATATTACTTCATCCTGCTGTCACAGTTGATCAAATAATAAGGCTGAACTGGAGGATTAAGTTGTTATTTTTAAGTCTAAAGAATGTATTTTAAAAAATAATATTTGTCAGGCCAATCCAGAGAAATATTGCTCAAGGATATCAGTAGCACCTTGGTGTACAGTTATCATCCAAACCTGCGTGTTCCTCGATTCCTGCAATGCAGCACCACGAAACTCTGCAGTAGTAAAAGAAGAACTGAAGAAGGATGAGAGGCATGCAAAGGCCAACACCCTCAGTGGAAGAGAGGCAGGAGAGCTCCCATCAGCAGAGAGAACCTCTCAGTGCCAGGATAATTCAGCCCATGTAAAGGGCCATTGACTACACCTGAAATCAGTTAAAGATTGACCTCACTGAAAGATGAGACCAAAGAGAGAAAAAGGAAGACTGATGGGAGCACTGACAAAAGCACCTTCTTTGTGTGGTGGTAAAACAACACAAGTAAGGACCATGATCTGGTCACTGCTCTGTAATTGCCTCCAACCTCGTGTTCCTGCTGTCAGATACTGTGCTTCAGCAGAGCCTGGCAGCCTAAGACAGCGGTGGGCAACCTCTGGAGGGGCAGCTACTTTTCCCAGGCACGGCTTTGCAGGGTTGCACAGCCCTCTTCAGAGCATGAGCCTGAATGCAAGGAGCTTTTTAGGGCTCCAGGGCTTTTTCCAGTCCTTCTGTGGTAGATGGTTTCTATCTGTGGTTATGATCTGCAAGACTGTCCTTCCACATCAGACCTTACAGGTTATACTGAATTAATTTAACCTACAAATTGGTAATACATATAATCTCTATTAAAAATCCATAATCTTTTTCCTAAGTGGTCAACACCAAGTTCTTCTGACAAGAATAGAAGAAACCTTCCTAATCCTTGCTTGCTAAAACCTTTCATAAGCCTCAAAATGAGGCTTAATATCTCTTTCTAAATGTATTATAATGTATTTCAGTTGTTACACAGATACAAGTATTAAATAGTAGACCTTCAAATATTATTTATTTCCTATGTTTTTGATCTCTTTTTCAGTCTTGCCTTGTGTTCAACCTTCATGACACAGTACAGCAAAACTAGTAATAATGCTGTAGTAGAAGAGTCTAAAGAAGTAAGTGGGGCAAGTCTCATAGGGAGAGGGAATAGTTTTCATTTAGACAAACTGATACTAATAATATAGCAAATGAAAAAGTCAAGGCAAGGGGGAGAAAAAAAGAGAGAAGAGGAGAGGAGAAAAGATGAAAGGAGAGGAAATAGAAGGAAAAAAATATTTCAGACCTTATCATTTCTAAAGATGCTAGACTTTAGAAATTATTAAAGCTACACAAATAACAATCAGAAATTGAATATGCCACATCATTCTGTAATTATCACTCAAAGATTTTACTATTATTTCAGCCTTTGCTTGCAAATAGCTAAATTGTAACTTCATTTTTTTGTTCATATTACTATGAAATTACCTGTGTCTTTCATTAATCTTTAAGGTAATATTTAATTCTTCTTTTCTTTCTATCAATATAGCATAGAAGAATAAATATTCCATTTGCTCTAATAAGAATGAAATTAAAATTCAATTTCTAAGACATGTAATTTTGGAAAGTAATTTTAAAAGCAATGAGACTGTCATTTTGAATTACATAACAAAACATTTCATGTTATAGAGCACACAATAGTTAAGGATCATTTGTTTAGTAAATTCATCTCTATTTTCCAATGCAGCTCATATTTTGTTTGTCCTGACTTTACTACCTCCATCTTCATTGTAGCACAATATGCAAATGTTTCTTACAGCTGTTTGTATTTCTGAGCAGTGATGTCCCCTTCTCCTCCAGTTTAACATCTCGTTTGAAACTGTGATGGGTTAGTTGCCCTCCAAGATCAAGCCAGCCTCAGATTAAATTCCTGAGTGCAGCAGGCTCCCCTCTGTGAGGTCTTCTTCCATGTGAATGCTCTTCCATTCCCTTCTTTCTCCCCCACCACCACTGCCTGAGCCACAGCGTGGGGCAGCAGAGCTTTGACTATGTTGCCAGAGCACCATGTAGCCAAATGTCTCAAAGTGCTCTGCAAATATCCAGAAACTCTAGCTTTAAAGGTGACAATACAACACATGAAATTAAGATCACAAGTATTTTGTAATGTGTAAACTAAGGACACGAGGCTAAGTCACTTTCCAAGGGCCATGCATATGTAGAGCTAGAAATAACAGTAAAATAAATTATGCTTAATAAGGTCTATGAGATACAATAGCATCAAGTATATTTTACTTCTTCCACAGCTCAATAGTCTGTAACAAATCCTTTTTATAAATTGAAGTGACCTTCCTGGAACCACTGAAGCTTTCCTAGTTTCCATACAGACAAAACTAGCCTGCTCAATTTCTGATTTGCCTTTTCTCTCCTTGTCAAAAGAAAAGAAACCCCAAAACATTTTCCTGCATGGGATCCTTCAGGGTATGGTATTAAGCTCTTCAGGTGCTGAAATTCGGAGTAAGGCAACTGCCTGCTTTACAGGATTTCAGGCAAAAAAATGTTGGTTTTAACAAACGTACCTTGGTGGGGTTTTTTACTTTAGGGCTGCTGTTGAAATAGGAAAACGCAGGTAGCCCAACCCTTCATGTAACTGGTACGTTCTCAGAGATTACAGCAATATTTGAAATAGTTGAGTGCCATTTCACCTGAAATGATGTAGCAGCCCCCTCTTGTTGCTCACCTTTGTCATGTGTGGTGTGTGAAATACCTAAATGGAAAGCAGCAACTCCAAGAGCCCTTAGCAGCCATTCTGTTCAATCAGTTTGGCTCTGGAAATATTATGCCAGAGTTGGATCAGATGTACAAGGAGCCTGTGAGCAGAGTTACATGATTATAAACATGGTATGAGAAGACATTGAGGAAAACAAAACAGATGACAAAGGCACGATCTGCTTGCTGTTAACACTGCCTCTGTAGCATCACAGGCTATCTCTAACCTATATTTTCCACTGCATTGCCAGCTTGCAAAACTTTTAATGGAACAAGTTTTTCTGGCAGAAGAACACTGATTTTTATCTTTAATGAGCAGCCTCTCTATCGTCTAGCTCCAGGAAACAGCTTCCTGGTTGTAAACTGCCTGAGAGTGCTGACAGCCAGTCAACTTCAAAAGCAGCCAGGAAAACCTTTCTTGCTAACTTTGGGAAGGAATTCAAAAATGCTGAAAGGTGCAGATGATGTTCTTATGGAGCATGAGGACTCTGCTTCCCAGCATGGAGAAATGACAAATTGGGATATCAATGACATCAAACTTCCCCAGGTATGTGTCTGTGTCTTAGAAATTTATTGTTCTGACCAGCCATCTGACCACTTCATTGCTGATCTTCAATGCTTTCTCAGTCATCTATGCCTCATTGCCTTTCTTCTCTTTTCCACCTTGAGGTATGGGACAGCATTTCCCTGAAGAGCTAGAAAATCTTGAGCAAATATTAAAGGTTCCTTGCATTGTTCCTTAAATGTATTTTTGAAAGAGCTGCTGATATATAAAAATAGCAATGCTGCAGATGCATTGCCTTTCTAGTCCATTGGTGGATGAGGTGCAGAGAAAGCAGAGGGGGGAAAAAATCTCCTGCTGTGAGTATTGAATTAGAGATGTCCAGGACTTGCTTTTTGTCCTGGGTAGTGTTTTATGAGAAGTGAGCGCAGCACCCATGGCTGTTTTGCAACTCCGGGTGCTCAGCCTTGCTGGCTGCAGATCGGGCTCTAGGCAGGTGGGCTGGCTTTCCATATG